ATTCATTTACCTGCAAATGCCATGATTTTATTCTATTGTATTGCTGAGTAATATTCCGTTGTGTGTATATGCCACAGTTTCTTTATCCATTCATCTACTAAAGGGCATCTAGGTTGGCTCCACAGTTTAGCTATTGTGAATTGTGCTGCTATAAACAATGATGTGGTTGTGTCCCTGTAGTATGCTGTTTTTAAGTCCTTTGGGTATAGACCAAGGAGAGGGATAGCTGGGTCAAATGGTGGTTCCATTCCCAATTTTCCAAGGAATCTCCATACTGCTTTCCATATTGGCTGCATCAATTTGCAGTCTCACCAGCAATGTATGAGTGTACCTTTTCCCCACATCCTCGCCAACACTTATTGTTGTTTGTATGCAAAATAGCTGCCATTTTGACAGGAGTGAGATGAAATCTTAGAGTAGTTTTGATTTGCATTTCTCTAATTGCTAGAGATGATGAGCTTTTTTTTAATATATTTGTTGATTGATTGAATATCACCTTTTGAGAAGTGTCTGTTCAATTCCTTGGCCCATTTATTGATTGAATTATTTGTGTTTTTTTGGAGTTTAGCTTTTTGAGTTCTTTATATACCCTAGAGATTATGCTCTATCTGATGTGTGAGGGGTAAAAATTTGCTCCCAAGCTGTAGGCTCTCTATTGACTTCACTGATTGTTTCTTTTGCTGAGAGAACCTTTTTAGTTTGAATACATCCCATTTATTAATTCTTAATTTTAATTCTTGTGCTGTAGGAGTCTTGTTAAGGAAGTTGGAGCCTAATCCGATATGATGGAGATTTTGGCCTACTTTTTCTTCTATTAGATTCAGGGTCTCTGGTTTAATTCCTAGGTCCTTGTTCCACTTTGAGTTGTGTTTTGTGCATGGTGAGAGATAGGGGTTTAATTTCATTTTGTTGCATATGGATTTCCAGTTTTTCCAGCACCATTTGTTGAAGAGGCTATCTTTTCTCCAGTGTATGTTTTTGGAACCTTTGTATAATATAAGATAACTGTAATTATATGGGTTAGACTCTGTGTCCTCTATTCTGTACCATTGGTCTACCAGCCAGTTTTGGTGCCAATACCATGCTGTTTTTGTTACTATTGCTCTGTAGTATAGTTTAAGGTCTGGTATTGTGATGCTACCTGCTTCACTCTTCTTGCTAAGGATGGCTTTAGCTATTCTGGGTCTCTTATCTTTCCAGATGAATTTCATGACTGCTTTTTCTATTTCTATGAGGAATGTCATTGGGATTTTGATTGGAATTGCATTAAATCTGTATAGTGCTTTTGGTAGTATGGTCATTTTGACAATAGTAATTCTGCCTATCCATGAACAAGGGAGATCTTTCCATCTTCTAAGGTTTTCTTTAATTTCTTTCTTTAGTATTCTGTAGTTTTCATTGTGGTGGTCTTTTGCCTCTTTTGTTAAATTGATTCCCAAGTATTTTATTTTATTTTCTTGAGGTTTTTTTCATTTTTCTTTCAGAGGATTTGTCACTGATATACAGAAATGCCTTTGATTTATGGGTGTTGATTTTTTATCCTTCTACTTTGCTGAATTCCTTTACTAGTTCTAGAAGTTTTCTGGTGGAATTTTTGGGGTCTTCTAGGTATAGAATCATATCATCAGCAAATAGTGCTAATTTGAGTTCTTCTTTTCCTATCTGTATCCCTTTAATTTCTTTCCTCTGTCTAATTGTTCTGGCCAGTGTTTCAAGAACTATGTTAAATAGAAGTGGTGAAAGAGGGCATCCCTGTCTTGTTCCAGTTTTTAGAGGAAATGTTTCCAATTTTTCTCCATTTAGAATGATGTTGGCATAGGGCTTAGCATAGATAGGTTTTATAATGTTGAGATATGTTCCCGTTATCCCTAGTTTTTCTAGTATTTCAAACATGAAAGGGCGCTATATTTTGTCAAATGCTTTTTCTGCATCTATCAAGATGATCATATGATTCTTATCTTTAAGTCTATTAATGTGATGAATTACATTAATTGATTTCCATATGTTGAACCAATCTTGCATCCCTGGGATGAATCCCACTTGATCATGGTGTACAATCTTTTTGATATGTTTTTGTATTTGATTTGCCAGAATTTTATTGAGAATTTTTGTTCCTATGTTCACTAGAGATGTGGTCTGAAGTTTTCTTTCTTTGAGGCATCTTTACCTGGTTTTGGAATCAGGGTAATATTGGCCTCATAGAATGAGCTTGGAAGTGCTCCCTCTTTTCCTATTTCCTGAAATAAATTGAAGAGTATTGGTATTAGTTCTTCTTTAAAGGTCTTATAGAACTCGGCTGTGTGTCCATCTGGTCCTGGGCTTTTCTTGGTTGATAATTTCCCAATGGTGTCTTCTATTTCACTGCTTGAAATTGATCTGTTTAAAATTATGTATATCATCCTGGTTCAATTTGGGCAAATCATATGACTCTAGAAATTTGTCAATGCCTTTGATATTTTCTATTTTATTGGAGTACAAGTTTTGAAAATAGTTTCTAATTATCTTCTGTATTCCTGTAGTGTCTGTTGTGATATTTCCTTTATCATCATGTATGTTAGTAATTTGAGTTTTCTCTCTCCTCTTTGTTAGCATGGCTAAGGGTTTGTCAATTTGATTTATTTTTTCAAAGAATCAACTATTTGTTTTGTCAATTTTTTCAATTATTTCTTTTGTTTCAATTTTATTGATTTTAGCTCTTATTTAACTATTTCCTGTCTTCTACTGCTTTTGGTGTTGATTTGTTCTTCTTCTTCTAGGGCTTTAAGAGGTAATGTTAGGCCATTTGTTTGTTGACTTTTTCTTTTTTTAGGAGATGAACTCCCTGCAATAAATTTTCCTCTTAGTACGGCCTTCATAGTGTCCCAGAGATTGATGTGTTGTATCAGTGTTTTCACTCACCTCTAAGAATTTTTTAATCTCCTCCTTGATGTCTTTTGCAATCCATTGTTCATTCAGTAGCATTTAGTCTCCAGGTGTTGGAGTAGCTTTTATTTTTTATTTTATTATTGATTTCTAATTTCATTCCATTTTGATCTGATAGAATGCAGGGTAGTATCTCTACTTTTTTATATTTGCTAAGAGTTGCTTTGTGGCACAATATACAGTCTATTTGAGAGAAGGATTCATGTGCTTCTGAGAAGAAAGTGTCTTCATTCATTGAAGGATTCTATATATGTCAGTTAAATCTAAGTTATTGTTTTATTGAATTCTATAGTTTCTTTTTTTTTCAGCTTTTGTTTGGCTGATCTATCCAGTGTTGAAAGAGGTGTATTAAACTCACCCAGAATTATTGTGTGGTGGTCTATTTGACTCTTGAACTTGAGAAGAGTTTGTTTGATGAACATAGATGCTCCATTGTTTGGAGCATATAAGTTTTATTATTGTTATGTCTTGTCGATGAATGTCGAAGTTGGGGAGAAGACTGTGTTTCTTCACTTACCAATTGTATTACTCAGCTTTGCATTGTGACCAAAATACCTAAGAACAACTTAGTGGAGGGAAAGTTTATTTTGTCTCATGGTTTCAGAGATTCAGTCCTTGGCCGGCTGACTCCATTGCTCTAGGTCTGAGGTGAGGCTGAACATCATGGCAGAAGGGAGTGTTGGGGGAGCAAGCTGCTTGGCTCATGGCACCTTGGAACAGGAGCGGGACAGGGGAAGGGACAGATATATATTCCAAGGCCACATCCTCAGTGACCTACCTCCTCCAGCCATGTTCTATCTACCTAAAATTATTACCCACTAGTTCATTCAAATTATTAATCCATTTTGGATTAACACATTAGTGAGATTATAGCCCCAATCACTGTCTAAAAGCCCCATGTCTGTATCTTGCTGCGTGGGGGCCATGAGGTTTTGGGGGTACATTTCTAGATCCAAACCATAATATCAGTTGGACAGCTTTGATAAAGTCTCAGCATTTCTTAGTCTCTACGTTCCTGTAATATGCGGATGAAGGTATCTGTTCTCAGAGCTGGTTCCGCTACTGTGCATTCTCAAAGCCACCATCAAAATAATATCCAGGGATAAAATAGACCTTATTATTGCTGTGTGTATATACGTAACTGCATGACCAATGAGATTCTGCAACCTGTACACTCAGAAAAATGAGAAATTATACCCCATCTGATTCAAATGTATGATATGTCAAGATCATTGTATTGTCATATGTATCTAATTAAAACAAATAAAAAAGATGAAAAAAAATAATAATAATATTGAGGGGTCTCATGTGCCTCTTCATGGGACATATATTACTAAGTGTGGGGCAGGCTGTGGTAGGTGCAGAAAATAGGGCAATGAATACCACAGAGCCAGCACCTGCCGCACACTGTCAGTGTGAGGAAGGGAAGGTGCCAGTGCTCAAGGCAGGGTCATGGGTGATGGCCATCTTCTTCAGATCAGGCAGATTGAGGCTCTGGGTACCTCCTCCACCTGCTGGCTGCTAATCAGGCCTGCCCATGGGCTCTCAAAGCACCTGGAGCAGCCAGGTGCCAGGAAGTTGTGAGATGAAGCAGATCTGAGTTCGGTTCCCAGCTGTGTGCTCATTAACTGAGCCATCTTTCCTTGTTGAGTCCCATGTGAAAAATGGGGAGACACCCACCTTCTGGAGTGCTCTGAGGCTTACACATATGTGACATGCGTGTTGCTCTGGTGGCCGCTTAGCTGAGCACTTCCCAGGAGATGTGGTGATGACTGGTTGTCATGGATATCCAACCAGACAACATTTGTGCTCTGGATGACAGGGCACCACCCCACTCCCTGTCAAGTCCACAGATGAATACAAAATAGTCGTTCAATAAAGGGGCAAGACAGTGGAGGCTGAAAGAGCATAATCTTGCACCTGGGATGGGATGGGACTCATGTATCCATTTGTTCAGAGCCATTTAATGATCCAGACATTTAGGAACTGGTTGATGACCATGCACAGCCCTTGCCCTCTGGGAGCTCCACATTCGGGGAACACGACACACTGACCTTCTGCTTTCTCTCTACATACAGGCTGTGTGGAGCTGTTGACCCAGGATGTCGGTGTTCAGGCTGGTAAGAATTGCATTTATTCAATCGAGGGATTATTTGTGGAAGTTACCCAAGGCTGAGCTGAACCACTTCCAAAGAATGAAGAAGAAAGGCAAAGAGACCTAGACGGAAAGTACCACAGATAAGGGAGTTTGAGGAACAAGATAGAATCTATTATCAAAAGACAACAGTTTACTTTAGAAAGCTTCTAGCCACATGCATAGTAATCCCTCTTACATGTAGGGCTTAAAAAAGGGATTTCAAATTTGTTGTCTCATGATGACACTCTAAGATCTCACCCAGAGAAAACAGTCGACTATGAAACAGGGAACAGGGTGGGAATCAGACCCTGGGTCAAGTCACCACTTTGGACTCTGCATCATGTTCCTTTTAGCAAATATCTGTGTTTCAGTGGCCAAGAGATGACTCTGCCTTCAGGAAACAGGGAAACTTTTCGTTTACTCTTGAATCAACAGACAGTGAGAAACTTCCCTTATAGGGAGTTGGGAAAGGCCTTCAGACCACCTGGAATGGAGTGTATATGGCAAGAAGAAGCTGGGAGGCTGGGAAGCTGGGGCCCCCAAACCAACATGGGCATCTTTCCCTGCTCCCCAGATTCCCACCTCTGCCTCTGCCCCACAAAGCCCTGAATAGTGCTGCAAAGTCCTTTCTGATTTAAAAAAAAAAAAGAAAAATGCACACACTGTTCTCCCACACACAGTAGCCATTCTCCCCAGGTGCTGGATCCACACTGCTGGGAGGGGCCCCATCACCAAGCAAGAGCCCCAAGGCTCCTAGGACTGGGCCCTGGCAGCTTCTGACCTTCTGAATGGGCAGCGAGGGTTGGTGGTTATTGTTTTTAAATTTTACAGACTGGAGATGAGGCCGTTTTCATCTGTGATTCATCCATTTATTCCTGCAGTCTAAAACTTTGCAAGGGCTTTTGGTTACCGCATTGCAAACATTAGACTTGGCACTGTACTAGATCATGATATTTTTAAACTTATTTTTAACTGATGCATAAAAACAAAATTTGTACATATTTACAAGGTGCCACGTGGTTTTTGATACCTGTATATATACATTGTGTAAAGTTCAAATCAGGATAAACACATTGTCTTCATCAGCTTTTCATTTCTGTGATCAAAATGTGTCACAAGAATAGCTTAGAGGAGGAAAGGGTTATTTTGGCTCACAGGTTCGGAGGTTCAGCCGGATCCAAGGCAGAAAGGCATGGCAGAGAAAGCTGCTTAGCTGATGGTAGCCAGGAAAGGGAGAGAAGGAGGAGAGAAGGAGAGAAAGAGAGAGATAGGAAAGGGACCTGGGAGAAGATAAACCCCTAGTGACCTACTTCCCCCCTTCCGGGGCACACCCCCAGTGACCTGCTTCCTTCAAATAAGTGAGACCTCCTTGCAGACTATCTAGCTATCAGTGGATTATTAATCTGCTAGGGTCGTCAAAGCTCTCAGGATTCAGTCACTGCCTAAAACACCCACCTCTGAACCTTGCTGCATTGGAGACCGTGCTTTTAACACATGAACTTGGGGGGGACGTTCCAGATCTAAATCAGAACACAAGGCAAAGCCAAACCTATTTCACCAAGGAAGGTGCCATGGCAGGCATCAGCTGGAATGTCTTCCAAGTGGCACAGACGTTAGTCTGCACGATTAACTTCAAGCAGAGTTTGGGAAGACACCTTCTGGGGCTGTATTACTCATAATCACAACTGCAGGCTCCCTCGGTCTTCTAAGATTGCAAGTTCTTTGAGGGGAGGGTTGTCATCTTTATTTATCAATGAATCCTTCAGAGGCCCAAGTGATTGCTAAATAAAAGGCAGAATCCCCCACTAGGTTCCCACTGCCTCCCAGTAGCACCAAACTGGGATCTAAGCTTCCAACACATGGACACTTGAGGGTCATTAAAAATCCAAGTGATACTGGGTAGGGGTTAAAAACCAGGTCTGTCTGACTTCAAAGGCACTTTCTATTAGTTTGATCAGGCTGCCGTAAGAAAATATGACAAACTAGGGGGCCTAAATGACAGACAATCACAGTGCAGTCAACCCATTCCTTATCAGACAGGGAAGAGATCTCATGAATGAGCACCCAGGTAGGGGGGCATTTCTAGGAGAAATACAGCACCAACCATCAGTCCCTGCCAATGGGAGGAGCCTCAAGTCTATTGATGGAACTGCACTGGGGCTGAAACCCCAGGTATCGCTGCTGGAGAGTCCTTGATGACTCCACTACAAGGCACCAAGCCACCTCCAGCCCATCTCTCCTACTAGGAGAAGAGAAGCATGGCAGGTGGGCACACGGGAGCCCTGCTCATGCCAGCGAGTGGGCCGAAGAGCTGCCTGTCTTGGTAGATGTCAGTGTGAAGGCATCTGAGAACCAGGTGCTCAGGAGTGAGAGTGGCCTTTACAGCTTTGGGTTTCTGTGTAGTCACCTCCGTCTCTGACTGGTGCTCCCTCTTCCTCTGCATGCTGAGCTGCAAAAAGAAAGCAACACAGGCCACAGAGGTCCCTGCTTCTGTAAATCAGCCTCTATTCCTTGAACCTCAACATGCACTTCCACTTCCTTTGCAGTTGACAGCTCCTGATTTTCCCCCTTCTTGCCCATTCTTGCCAGGATTCAGTTGCTTTTGAACAGACATCACAGAGTTCAGGAAGAAGTTCTGTTTTCTGCCACTTGGCTTCCCATTTATTTCCCAGGGCACCTCTGGCCAAATGGCAAACCCATTGCTCCTTACTTTGCATAATCCATACTCCAGTTCTGTTAGTTCTTCTTCCAGGTCCGGTTGGGCAGACACCTCATCACTGGGCTTACCCTGGAGATAGTTTCTCTCTTTTTTTTTTTTTTTTTTTTTCATTTCTGGTTAATGTCAATTTTGCTGTGAGAAGCTCATCATATATCTTTGACTTTAAATCTTCTCACTTTGGTGACTGGCCAGCTGTTTTCACTGCACAATGCCCACATTTACACTGAAATTTCAGCCTGGTCCTAAGAGAGCTTGTCCTCAGTCTCTGAGAGTTTGTATGTAATTTAATTAACTTGATACAGTGTATTTTCCTGCTGTCTTCTGCATCCTGTAATAAATGCTCCTTGCTATAAGTGGAAGAGTGTGGCTGAGGGACGCAGCTCACATAATTTAGCTATTATTATTAATGTTGTTGTTGTTGTTGTTTGCCATACTGGGGATTAAACCCAGAGGCACTCTACCACTGAGCTACAGTCCCAGCCCTTTTTATTTTATTTTTAAATTTTGAGACAGGGCCTTGCTAAGTTGCTTAGGCTGGCCTCCAATTCCCAATTCTCCTGCCTTAGCCTCCGTGGTTGCTGGGATTACAGGCATGTGCCACCGAGCCTAGCTAACTTTTATTTTTATAAAGTTGTGTAGGCATACAGCTTACAAGAGTCAGTGCCCCACTTCCTCTTCCCTAGAAGTGACCACCACCAACCCTTCTAGTTGATCCCTTCAAATTTTCCATCCGTGTCTGTAAAGAGGTTATGATGATACTTGATATTTGGGTTTTCAATGTTATCTATCATTGGCTTTCCTCTAGGTACAAAAGGACTTAGATCCTCACCCCTACTCCCCAGCTCTCCTTGGCTTACTCTGACTCTGCAACCTCTCTGTACTACAGCTGTATCATATATTTTGACAGTGTATTGCCTATTGCTTTGTTCTTTTTGGTAAAGATGACTTCTGTGGGAGACCATCCTTGCACGTGACTGGGTCACACTCCCCGGCTGGGTGCTGAGGCACTCAGTCGAAGAAATGTGGCAGAGCTTTCCCCACCCTTCTTGGGTTCCAGGGTCAGTGTCTCGTGCATGGGTGTCTTGCTACAGCCCCATCGATGAAGCTACGCTCACCTGTTCCTTTGTAATATAACCCCTTGCCCTGTTTAGGATAGAATCTTCCATGGAAGTGCCTGTGTGTGTCCCCTTCTCTTACTGTGCCCTTGGGTGTGGCCTACCCAGGTGTCAGTCAACCTGCTGACACTGGACATTATGAAGAAAGACTCAGCCCCCTGAAACCTGACCCCTTGCCTCATTTGAATGGCTTCTCCTCAATAAAAGGGGTCAGAGCGTGCTCTCGCTCTTTCTCTTTCTACAGACCCTTAAGGTCAGAGGAGCTGTCACAGCTACCCCAAAGAAAAAGGTATTTGTGTCTCTTGTGTGGTTATTTTGCGCAGCCGAGTTAGCCCAGTTCAACTGGAGTGATCCCTGAGCCTTTTAGTCGCGACCAGAAACCCGGCAGACTTCAGCTGTGTGTGTGTGTGTGTGTGTGTGTGTGTGTTTCCATACAAATTTCAGGATTGCTTTTTCTTTTTTTTATATATATATTTAGTTGTAGATGGACACAATACCTTTATTTTATTTGTTTATTTGTATGTGGTGCCGAGGATTGAACCCAATGTCCCATGTGTGCTAGGCAAGTGCTCTACCACTGAGCCACAACCCTGGCCAGGATTGCTTTTTCTTGTTCTGTCAAAAAAATGTCATTGGTATTTTAATAGGAATTGCACTGAATCTGTACCGGATTTGATTTTTATTTTTCTTGGACCAGGTCATTTTTTCCCCCTGGTACCGGATCTCTCTCCCCCCATTTCTGGTACCTGGAATCTGTCTTCTGTTTACAGATTCAAGGTTTCTTTAATTTCTGAAAAGTTATCTTGAATTGTATCTTTAATAACTTTGATGCTTTTTTCTTCCCTTTCTAGCTTTCTTCTTTGGATACTCTGTATTTTTTCCCGTCTTCTGTGTATCTATCTTTTTCTTCCTAATTCTATTTTCTAAAAATTTCCTTGTCATTTTGCTCACTCTTTTCTTTCCTATCTTTAGGATTCTTGTCCTAATTTTGCTGTCAGTACATGTTTTAGTCAGCTTTTTTTGCTGCTGCGACTGAAAGACTGTAGAGGAGGAAAGGTTTGTTTCAGGCTCAAGGTGAGGCAGGACATCAAGGCGGAAGAGTGTGGCTGAGGGACGCAGCTCACATGAAGATCAGAAAGCAGAGAGAGAAGCTTTACTCTCCAGATACAAATGTATATCCAAAGCCACGCCCCAAACCCCACCTCCTCCAGCCACACCCTCCCACTTAAATTACCACTCAGTTAATCCCATCAGGAGATCAATTCACTGATTGGGTTAAGACTCTTATAACCCAATCATTTCTCCTCTGAACCTTCTTGCATTGTCTCACATGTGAGCTTTTGAGGGACACCTCGCATTCAAACCTAACAATGCATAGTCTCCTGTTGTTTTTTTTTTTCCTTTTATTTCCAGTTAATTTATTTCTTACCCTTCATTTCTTTCTCGAACTCTGCCAACTCATACCTCTTCAGTCTCAGTTGTCTTGCTATCTAGTTCCTGAGTTCTTTGGCCTCTGAGGTGCACTTTGGTATATTTTAATACATGATGGTGAAATACTTGGCTTTTACTTTCTACTGCTCTGAAAGGCTTTGTTTTGGGGATTTCTGTTTTTGTTTTTCTTCTTCTTTGAATGCTCTTTTCCTCCCTTGGATTTCAGTATCTTCGTATTAGGCCTGTGCTGGCTCCTTTGGGTTTATTCTCCTTGGAGTGGGATTAACTTTCTTGGATCAGCAAGTTCAGGTGTGGTTGATGCCATGTTGCAGGCTAGCATTGACTTTTTAGTCTGCCCCTCTCCCTGCCAATGGATTTGGGTACTGTCGGGCTCTTCACAGGGCAAAGCTTCCCTTTCCCACTTCGCAGATAGACTGCTTCCTGCAAATATGGCATCTCGTTTCTTAGAGCCAAGTCAGGCCAAGGAAGCTCCTATTACCACTTCTTGCCCTTTCTCTGCTGATGCAATGAGACATGCTGCATTAGAATGTGTTGGACTTGGAGAAATGAACTTTTCCAGCTCTTTCTGGAATCTGCAGCTGGGGCCCTCTTTTCAGCTTCGTTCTTCATCTTTTACCAGAATGCTCTCCGGCCTGCTCAATGGCTCATCCATCTTCTACTTTCACTGAAAATGGTGTTTTGTTTCTGTTTCTCATTCTCCTAGTTGCTTGCTGTAGATTTCCGAGAGGATGCAAGTGAGAAGTTCAACTCCTGTTGTCGTTTTCATTTGCTCTAAACCACCCCACCTCACTATTTTCATAAATAGTGGCTGAATTTGGTTACTGTTGTCTTTCTCTATGATGGTCACTGTGGGGGAGCTCCTGTCTTTGGTGGACTTACTGTCCCAGGCAGGGTAGAGACAAAGCAAGAAGGTGAATAGACAGTGTTTGGTACCTGCCTATTGGGCAGTACAGATGACACATGCTCAGAGGAGACCAGAGAGGGAAAGGAGGAGAGGAAGGGGAAAGAGGTAAGAGAGGGAGGGATGGAAAGAGAGTGGGGGAGAGAAGAAAGGAAAGGGAGAGAGAGGGAAGAGAAGGGGAAGGGGAAGAGGAGGGTGGTGTGGGAGAGAGGGAGGGAGAGGGAGGAAGGGAGAAAGAGAAGAGAGACAGAGCCACCTAGGAGCTCCAGATTAAAAGGACAGCCAGCCCCAGGACAGGTAAGTCTCCAGTGGGAAAGGGAAGAGAAACAGGGATCAGACCACTGTCTCCTCTCTGCCCTCCAGGGTGACCATGTGTGGCTGGAGCCTGCCTCTACCAACAAGGCTGAAGTGGCTATCGGGGGCATCATCAAAGAAACCAAGCCAGGCAAGGTCTTGGTCGAGGATGACGAGGGCAAGGTCAGTGTTGGGGGCTTTCCCCTGTGCCCATCCCACTGGGGCCCCAGAGCCCACTGCCTCTGCTGCTCCCCAGCATTGAGGGTTCAGAAGCCCAAGATCTCTGTGGCAGGACAGACCACGGTGAAGTCCTGCCCTGGAGAACATTATGTGTTCCTCTTGGGGATGTTTCAAGAGTTGCATCCTGGGGAAAGGAAGAGAATTAGGAGAGCAGGAGGGAGGGGGAAGGGCAAGGGCAGGTGGGGGAGAGCTGAAAGCTGGTGTTCAGAGTGAAGGGGAGTTGGAGGGAAGGTGGGCCAGAAACCTGTGGAGGGGGGAGGAAAGGGCAGAAATGCAGAGGTGAGGGTTGGCTCCTTAGGGTGGCCAGACCTGAAGCTCACCCACCTGGAGGAGGCAGGGGCCACTGAGGGCAGAGCGGTGAGGCTAGGGTTGCAAGGCAAGCATCCAGCTGGTCACCTCACTCTTCAGGCTGACCAACTGCCCTGCCCAGACAGGCTCCAGGGTGCAGCTCCTGCAGACATGGCCTAAAGGAGAAACTTCTAGACTGGTGCCTAGAAGCTCCAGATTACGGAAGCCACGTGGAGCCACGTAGAACCTCCCACTTGCATAATGCTGTATGGCTTTTCAAAAACACTTTCACTGCTCAGTGTTATGGCACACTCCTAAATTCCCAGTGACTCAGGAGATTGAGGCAGGAGGAGGATCCCAAACTCAAGGCCAGTCTGAGCAATTTAGCAAGACCCTGTCTCAAAATTAAAAATAAAGAAAGGGCTGGGGATGTAGCTCAGTGGTAGAGCACCCCTGGCTTCAATCCCAAGTACCACATATACACAAATAAGTCCTTTTAAAAATTAGCAATCCCTCTATATTAGCCAACATGTTAAAAAGAACATGCATCATAACCAAATGGGGTTTACCCTGGAAATACAAAGTTCCTGCAACATTTTGAAAATAAATCAGTATAAGTCACCAAATCAGTAGACAAAGAAAAAAAACATATATTTGTGTTAATAGATACAAGAAAAAGCATTTGACAAAATTCAACATCCATTTATGATTTTTTTAAAAAACACTTTTATTTGTACTTATTCCAACAATGGTGAGGCCCCAGCTGTAAATTGACCTCAAATCTAACTTGTAGCTACCAGCTCCTCCACCCCAGCCTAAGGTTTGGCCCCAGCCCAGCTACATATGTACCCCAGGCCCTTGACACATGCTGACCAAAACCACAGTTGGACCTGATTTTGTCACATGTGTCACTTGACCTAAGCCACAGACTGATCTTGGCCAGAGACTGGCCATCAGCCCCAGGTCAGCTCATCTGTGCTCATCACATGAGTCACCTTGTGCCTGGCAATGTGGAGAAGTAGGGTACTAGGGGACTGGTCCATGTGGAGGCTGCCCATCAAGGGAGTCTGTGTCCATCATTCCAGGAACACTGGATTCAAGCAGAGGACTGTGGTGTTCTTAGCCCCATGCACCCCAACTCTGTTGAGGGTGTAGACGACATGATCCGCCTGGGGGACCTGAACGAGGCAGGCATGGTGCACAACCTCCTGATCCGCTATCAGCAGCACAAGATCTATGTGAGTCCCCCTACCCTGTGTCCATCTGGGAACCTTCCATGGGGGTGAGACTGTGACCGCCCAGGGGATCTGGAGCTAGGCACCACTCCCCGTATCCTCACTGTATGAGGAGGTGGGGGTGTCCGGCCTTTCTCAATCTCTGTTTCTAACACAAAAGAAGCAGGGATCAGACCCTTGAGGAGAGGAAGCTGATGTGTGCTGAGAGCATAGTACCTGGCACACACTAGGTGCTCTGAGTGCTGCCCTTTCCTCTGTCTGTTGCTGAGCGAGGACCTGCTCTGACAGGTCAGGTAGACACTGAAAGACAATGGGATGAGCACAGCTTCCTGTTCCCACCCCTCAACTCCTAGGCATGTCACAAACAGGGTAACCTGATGGAGCATTCCAGTCCTCCTGAAAGTGACATCCAAGACTCCGGTGCCCCCACCCACCAGTTGAGGAGGGAGTGTTCTGTCTGAATAATGTGGATCAGAGCCCCTGAGACTGAGAACAACAAGATAACCTGAACTGTACCTCATCCTTTGCAAAGTGCTCATGCAGACATCCTTGATCTGACCCTCTTCACCTTGAAGGCAGAGGATAATTCTGTGTCTTATGGTGGAGGTTTCCCTGCCCCACCCCCATAAGGGCAGCTGGACCTAGTTGAGGGCTGCCAATGAACAGGTGGTCCTAGGCTGTGGTCCCAGGACTGGGGCTTGTCCCTGAGACCTGGAGTCCACAGAAGGTGCAGTTGGGATCAGTGAGGGCTACAGCCTTTACAGAGGCTCCTGCAGGAAGCAGGTAGAACTTCATTTCATACGTTCAGCCCATTTTATCAAGTCCCTCATAAGCACCAGGCAGGGTGCTGAACATGTAATCTTATTTTGAATGTGTCCAACGGAAGCTCACCTTCCTGGTGGACACCCCAGCTTCCCTGAGCATCTGAGAGTGTGAGTCTTTCCTCCTTGCCCAGAATCAAACCCTACTTTCCACCAGAGTCCGCAGTCCTGGTAACCCTCAAAGGGTGGCACCCAAGGCCAAGGCCAGGGCCAAGTAGCTCTTCCCTAGGGCAGAGACACTAATCACCTCCTGTTTCCTTCCCTAGACATACACAGGCTCCATCCTGGTGGCCGTGAACCCCTTCCAGATGCTGCCCCTGTACACCCTGGAGCAGGTGCAACTCTACTATGGCCGCCACGTGGGGGAGCTGCCCCCGCATGTCTTCGCCATTGCCAACAGCTGCTACTTCAGCATGAAGAAGAACAAGAAGGACCAGTGCTGTGTCATCAGGTGGGGCTCAGGTGCCCATGATTCTGGGGGCCAGAGGGGTCAGCCATTGCTCAAACATCCTGCAAAGGAAGGAAGGAACAACCCCTTTCCCTAAAGCATGTGTGACCAACATGCCTTTGAGGCTGGTGTGATTTTTTTTTTTTTCAATTGCACTGGGGATTGCTTAACCACTGAGCCACATCCCTTGCCCTTTTTAAATTTTAAGGCAGGGTCTCTCTAAGTTGCTTAAGGCCTAGCTAAGTTGCTGAGGCTGGCTCTTATTCAGCTGCAAATACCCCTCTGAAGGGCACACAGATCACCTGGAACTGTCCCCTGCTGCCCCTCCCCCAGGATATGTCCCTCCAAAGCATCCTTCTTTCAGAACCTGGTTTTTCACTGGATCACCAGGGCCTGGGTGTTTCCAGCCTTCAATAAATGTTTCTTGAGGCAAGGAAGAAAGGTGGAATGGCTGCTTTAGAAATGGGGCCCAGACAGGCCCTTGGGAGAGCAGGGCTCAAACTGAGAGTGAGATCTCACTCAAAAATAAAATCTTAGGGCAGGCCTCAGGCGAGCTCCAAGAGCAGCTCACAGGCCTCTCAAGTCCTCGTCTGGCCTGGCCTGGCCTGGCCTCTCTCTTCCTGTGACCACAGGACCTCCTGCTGCCAAAGGAAAGGGAGAGGAAGAGGGAAAGGGAGGTGAAGCGGGAATTGGGCTGCAGAGCATCTGGACTGATGTGCCAGTAGTCATTCATTTATTCGTTTTTGGTCCATTAGTTCATTTGAGATTTTATCATGTCCTAGCCACACGCCCCTCACAGGTCTGACATGGGTAACGGCTGCAGGTAAAACCCCTGCCTTGTGGAGCTCACATTCTAGGGCATGCTGCTTCAGGTGTAAGGGAGATCAGGCACAGCCTCTCTGAGCAGGGACATTGTTTCAACCAGAGACATGAATGATGTTCTATAGCATAGGTGATCATATTTAATGTCCTCAGTCACCCTCTGAGGAAGATATTCCTATTTTACTGTTAGGGAGAGATTGAGACCGTTTCTCAGTGGCATACAGCAGGGAAAGGGAGAAGACAGAGATCTGTCCCAATCTGTCTCCCAAGACAGGATGACCTGCTTGCTGCAAGAGGCCTCCTGAGCTGAGCTAGACTGCATGACAGCTGGCCAGGAAGCTCACAGGGCCGGCTTCTACCTGGAGGGTGGCAGTGCTGATGGGGTGTGGGCTGAGAAGAGGAAAGAGTTCCTTAGTACCCAGCATGCTGTAATGAACAGAACATCATTTTAAGTCAAACTGGGCTCTCTCGTCCATTTTCTGCTGCTATAATAGATTACAAGACTGGGTGAATTATAAATAGTGGAAGTGCATTTGGCTCATGGTTCTGGAAGCTGGGAAGTTCAAGGTAGAGGCGCACATCTGGTGAGGACCTTGTGCTACATGAGAAACACGGCATATGTCGTAACTTGGAGAGAAAGTGCACAGAGGGTGAGTGGGGTCAAACTTATCTTTTCCTCAAGAGCCCACTTCTGAAACAATAGCACTAATACATCTTTTACCTAATCCCCTGCTTCTTAATACTGTCACTGTGGCAATTAAAGTTCAACAAGGAGCTGGGCACAGTGGTATGTACTTGTAGTCCCAGCTACCTGGGAGGCCAAGCAGGAGAATCAGCTGAGCCCTGGAGTTTGAGACTAGCGGGAGCCAATCTCAAAAAACAAACAAACAATAAGAGTTTTTTTTTTATTTTTCCAAAATGAGTTTTGGAGGGAATATTCAAACCATAGTAACTAGCACACACCCCCCCACATACTCCCGCTCTGCCGAACTGTGAGCAAGTCCCCTTAATTTCTCTTCCCTTGTGAAATTGGCAGGTTATTTGATGAGTTCCTGTTTGTGGCAGGTGCTCACAGGGGTCTGTGACTATGACTGGAGATTGTTGGTTTGACTCTGCTTTGTTGGCATAGCAAATGTGAACACCTTGATCATGGGTTCTTCAAAAGGTTATACTTTCAGAGGAAATAATATTTGTCTGGAATTTACTTCAAATAGTACAGGTGGAGCTGGTCACAGTGGCACATGTCTGTAATCCCATCGACTTGGGAGGCTGAGGCCGGAGGATGGTCTCAAGGCCAGCCTCAGCAACCTAGCAAGATCTCGTCTCAAAATCAAAAATAAAAGGTCTTGTTCATTCATCTGTATTTATGGGGCACTGTACCAAGTGGCTCTGGAATGAGCCAGATCTGACTGTGCCAAGGAGTTTGCAGCCAAGCAGTGAAAAAAAGACAAACACATCAATAACTTCTTCAACATTGATTATCTGAGGGCCTCAGGAAGGGGCCATGCTGTGAGATCTCTGCATGGGGAAAAGGTGTCCCTGTTAGAGTGGGACCAGAAAACAGGCTTTGGGTGGATTTGAAGGAGAGTTGAGAGGTGTTGAAAAAATAGTTTTTCTATGGACTCATGTCCTTGCATGTCTCTTTGGCAGTGGTGAGTCTGGGGCTGGAAAGACGGAGACCACCAAGCTCATCTTGCAGTTCCTGGCCACTGTCAGTGGCCAGCATTCCTGGATTGAGCAGCAGGTCCTGGAGGCTAATCCCATCTTGGAAGGTAAGTGGTCACCCTGGGGAATTGCCCTCCTCTCCCAGCCCCTTAGATGGGAGCCTTCCTGCAGGAAGAGAGAGGGTAAGTCATAAACCTCCATATGGAAGCATGGGGCTCCCTGGCACCAGGAAAGGAGTTGACTGATAACTTCATAAACTTGCATTATGTACGTTTTACACAGGATACAAGAAGTATTCCTCTTAAAAGGGGCTCCAAGATTAAATCAATTTGGGAAATATCAGCTGCATCTGTTTAGGTCCCCTGAGAAGCAGTTACTGGACTACATACAGTTAGTGTTGCAAGGTTTTTTTTGAGGGGGTAGCACAGAGAATAAAACGGGAGGAAGTAGGAGTGAGCAGGGCAAAGCTTCAGATGGTGATGCTGATTGGATACTTCAGAAGGAAAGAGGAAAAGAAGGAGAATAGGGTGAGGAGAAGTTCAAGCTTGGTTTAATGTTCTGCTGCCACCCTTTTGAAATTCTCACTTTTAGCAAGAGGCCCCACAGTTTGATTTTGCAGCAGGCCCACAAAGCTTTGTCAACCCAACGAAGGCCTCTGGATCAAACTGCTCCTTAGAGGAGTCCTTAGATCCAGAGTCACCCAGGTTTAGTCCCTGGTAAGCATGGCCCAAGAAATCTGTGACCTCAGCCCCAAAGCTGCCAGCTGCTATACAACACAATCTCCCATTTCCTTATGACTGGGATGGGCTTTACGTACAATAAAAAATCACCTTTAAAAAAATGTTTATTTAGTTGTAGGTGGACACACAGTATCTTTATTTATGTTTATGTGGTGCTGAGGATTGAACCCAGTGCCTCACCATATGAGGCAAGTACTTTGCCACTGAGCTACAACCTCAGCCCCAAAATATCACCTTTTTTAATGTACAGATTCATGATTTTTAACAGACACATTCATTCCCATAACCCACCCATCATAATTATGTAGAATATTTCCATCACTCTCCAAAATTGCCCTCGTGTCCCTTTATAGTTAATCTATCTTTCCAGCCCCCGCCCCTGGAAACCACGGATTTGGTTTTTATCCCCCTGAAGTTTTGGTCTTTTCTGGAATATCCTAGATATGAAATCACTCAATCTGTCGACTTTTGGTGATTACACTAGCATACACTGGCGATACTCATTAATGTAATGCATTTGGGGTTCTTTTATGTTATTTTCCTCTATCCACAACCCATTCCTTTTAACATTGAGTGGAATTTCATTCTATGGAGTTACCAACACTTTGTCTATTTCCCAATTGATGGATACCTAGGTGGTTTATAGGTTTTAGAAATTATGAATAGAGCTTCTACAAACACTCACTATATGGGTTTTTGTGTGAACATTTTTTTCTCTTGAATAAATATGCAAGAGTAAAATTGTTGGCTCCAATAGTGAGTGAGTCATTCAACTTGATCAGAAACTGTCCAAATGGCTGTACCATTTTGTTTTCCCACCAGCGGAGTATGAGAGTTCAAGTTGTTCTGTCCTTGCTGGTACCTGGCACCATCAGGGAGACCATCACTCTGATACGTGTTGTGTGGTACCCCAGTGTGGCTGTAACTCCCAGTTTCCCAGTGACAAATGACGTTGAGCACCTTTGTATGGCCTTAATTCCCTTCTGTATATCTTCTCTGGTGAAGTATCTGTTCAAATCTTTGGACTATTTTTTAATTGGTTTATTTCCTTATTAATGTGTAGTTTATCTTTTCATTCTCTTAATATTGTCATTAGTGGGACAGATGTTTTAAATTTTGATGAAGTTTCATTTATCATTTTGTTCTTTAATGGATTATGCTTTTGGTGTGGGGTCTAAGGAATCTTTACCTAAACTCAGGAGTTTCTCTTAGTTTTTTTCTTGGTGTTTATACTTTTAGGTCTTAGATGTAGGTTTATGATCCAGTTTGAGCTAATTTTTTCCAACGTGCAAGGTATAAGTAGCCTCTCTCCTTCTCTTCTTCTTCTCTTCTTCCCTCTCTCTCTTTTTTTGTGTGTGGATATATAAGTCTTCCAGCTCTATTTGTTGAAGACTAATTTTCTCCATTGACTTGCCTTTGCACCTTTGTCTAAATCGACCATACATATCTGGGTCTATTCCTGTTTCTCTGTTTGGTCTATTACTCTCTGTCTAACCTTTCACCAAAACCACACTGTCTTGATTTCTGTAACTTTATGGGAAGTTTTGCAGTAGGTAGCCTGTGTCCTCCAATTTTTTTTTTTTTTTTTTTTGGATGTTGGTGGTGCTGGGGATTGAACACAGGGCTTTTGTATGTGAGACAAGTTCTCTACCAACTGAGCTATACCCTCAGCCATGTCCTCAAATTTTGTTTTGTTTTTCAAACTGGGCTATTCTAGGTCCTTTAACTTTCCATATACAAGTTAAAATCAGCTTGCCAACTTTTACAAAATATTTCTATATCAGATTCTTTCTTGAGGAGATACCTGACCAGTATCTTGTGAGGGTCACTCTGGTTCCAATACATTAAATAAGGTTCATAACTGACACTTTTCAGAGGCTTTGCTATACCTTAGGATTCAGAGAGAGAAAGGGTTAGGGGAAGTGATTCCTAAACCGATTTGTGTTCATTTGTGTTCACCAAGGAACACTCTTCTTCATCAGATGGTGATATTTTCAAACTGTATCCAACCCACTAGTGGGACATGAAATCAGTCTTTCAGAACAAATAAACTACCACAGAATAGAAAATACCCAGGCCATTGCTCTTGTTAAGAATTGCACCAAATATTGTGTTTTAATTATGTGTGTGCCGATGCAGATGTATGTCATCAACCTAAATAACAAAAGAGTCTCCAAGGAATACTGAGTCTATCCACTAGTGGCAGAGTGTTATAATCCAGGACATGTGGAGACCATACACATGTCCAAAGAAGTTAAGGAAAGAGGAAGCTTTTAAAGGCAAAAGAAAGAAGTACATGTAGTTTGTTTTGAAACAGAAAACATTGGTTACAGGGGCCTATCTTAGGAATGGACACCCATTCTTAGTGGAGACAGTGTCAAGCAGGTGTACTTGTGCATTCTAACAGCTATCCTTTTGATTCATGTTGCAAGATGAAGTTAGGAAATCCCTTGGCAAAAGTTCTAGTGACAAATATATATGGTTAGGAGCCCTTCAGGGACTTTTTGTAATAGTTTTCATCATAGGCATGTTCTGGTCATCCCGATAGCCCTCCCTCCTTGGTCTCCCAGCTTTATTATTTATTTTTTGGTTAGGGTTTGACATGAGTGACTCCATTTTGATTCTAGCAACTTTCACATTATGGAGTAGAACATCTTTGTTACTGTGGGACACATCCAAAGAGCTTGCAGTAATAGCTCTATAAAAGGCACTTTGGATCGTGCTACAACCCAAATGACTACCTCATCTGTCCTCTGGCCAGGTCGGCTCATGTCCCTCTCCCTGAAAGCTTGCCCTCTCCATCTACCTTACAGCCTGCACCATCTTTCTGAAATACCAATCTGCTCTCACCACCCTCCCTAAGAAGACTTTCTGCTTCCTCCAGCACCTGCAGGAGTAATTCCCAAATTCTGAGCCTGGCATTCAGTCTTAATCCCACTGTCTCTGGCCTCTTGCTGCTGCTTTTCTCCTGTATCCTCTGTTCTGCAGGCACACATGTGCCTTCTGGCCTCCAAGCCCTTCCTGCTCTTCCCCTTCCTCTGCATGATGGCTGTCTGGGGTAACCCTCCTCCTCCTTCAGTTCTGGACTGGCACCTCCTCTGAGAGGCCTACCCAGACAGCTTCTCTAACGCCTACTCAGATGACCCTTCTAAAAGTCAATTTTCTCTACCCTCATCGTGGACGTCACCCACTCACCCTTAGCCTTTGGAAACGCCAAGACCATCCGCAACGACAACTCCAGCCGCTTCGGGAAGTACATAGACATCTACTTCAACGCCAGCGGGGTGATCGAGGGTGCACGCATTGAGCAGTTCCTCCTGGAGAAGTCCCGAGTCTGCCGGCAGGTAAGGCTCTGCCATCATCCCTGGAGCCCTCCAGGAGGGTGACCTTCCTCACTCTCGCCACCCCCATTCCTGGGTGGAGGAAGCTTCCCAGACCCCATGGACCCCTTGAGTATTCCAGCAAAACCAGTGATAGGATTTTCTATCATTCATTGGAATTTTTGAATTTTTCAACCATATAATTTCCTTCATTCTTTGGTGCCATGGTGCCTCACCACATTAAAATTAATTCTGAGGCCGGGCTAGTGCTCAGCTAAGGATGGGGGCATTTTCAGGCATGTTGGGGCTAGCCAGTTGACAGTGTCCAGAAGGCCTCAATGACCAGAAAACGCAGGTTGATGCTATCACCCAAGGCCCTGTGCCCAGAAAGGCTCACACTTGGTGTGAGCTCTGTTGTTGCCATCTTGAAATTCTCACTCTTCAGCAAGAGGTCATGTGATTTCATGTTGCAGTAACCCACAAATCACACAGCTGATTCTGAATGGCAGGGATGCCAACGTGAGACACCTACCACACAGAGTCAGTGCAGCCTTGTGTGTGTGTGTGTGTGTGCACTCTCATATAATGGCATAACCCCAAATGTCTATGGGTGTGTCTGTGAACATGCACGCATTAACACACACACACACACACACACACACACAAACATGAAATTCCAGCAGGGGAAACACTATCAACAAAAGGTAGAGGGTAGATAGATACTTTAGCACATGGGAAGCTGGAGAAGGAGGTCATTTCCCCTGCTTGTCTCATTTGCTCTTCACAACAACCACGAGATATGGGGCTCTTTATCTTCATAGTACAGATGAAAAAACTGAGTCCAGATAGATTATGTAGCTTGCCAGGGTCAAAAAGCTAGCACATGGTAGAGTCTCTCTGACTCCAAGACCTGCCCTTCCCAGAAGCCCCTCCTTCTTCACACAGTGGCTGGTGAATTTGTAGAACTTGTCACCCAAAATAGTACTCTGAAAGTTTAGAGAAACCTCTAAAGGAAGCTTAAAAACAAGCCCTGTCCATAATAAAAAACCGAGTGAAATATGGCATAGGCTGCAGGTACAGCTTACAGATAGAGCATGTACTTAGCATGTGCAAGGTCTTGGGTCCCATCTCTAGCATCAAAACAATAAAATTAAATTAAAAATATGGCATATTACACTGTAGGAAGGTGGGCAGAATTGCAAAGGAGGGGGAGGGCTGTGTATATTGATGTATAAGGATCACCAAGAAACAGATGAATAAAAAGGAAGTCGAAGAACAATAAATATATATTTATATAAAGTAAAAGAACTACTTATAGATATAAGTAAATGCATTTGATATCTAGAAGGAACACAGACTCTCAAGGGCTTCTGAGGAGGGAGAGGAAGGGATTTCAAGCTGGAGGAAGCAAAATGGAAACTCTCAACTCATAGCACTATATACTTCAGATGGATTAAATATTTACAAAGGGGTGCATTTATAAATAGTGTTTAAAGAAATACAAGGCCCAAATAAGCTGTGGCTGTCAGGTGGGTCACAAAAGTGATTGCAAAGTGTGTGGGATTGTGAGAGTCCTGCATGATGTTGGGCACAGGTGGCTTCAGGGCCGCAGAGAAGCAGTCAAGAAGCAGGAAGCTCCGGGCAGGGGATGAATGGGCTCTGGAGGCCCAGGACAAAGATGGCAGCCAGGCCAGGCCAGCCTTTGGATCAGTGACAGAGGCACACCTGGCTGGGGGACCTTGGAATTGAAGCTGGGACAGTGGGCGGGCTGATGGTCTCAGGGGACTTGCTGACATGTCTCTTTGGGGACACCCTCTCAGGCTGCAGAGGAGCGTAACTACCACATCTTCTACTGCATGCTCATGGGGATGAGTGTGGAGGAGAAGAAGCTGCTGGGCCTGGGGATGCCCTCTGAGTACCACTACCTGACCATGGTGAGCCCATCCGCCAGTCCCACTCCTCAGTAGCAATCAGAGAGAAGGGTCAGGGTCTGCTCAACCCTTGAATTTCTATAGCTACAGAAATACCCCAACTCCAGCTGGGCCTCTGAGGCAGGGCTGATGGTCCTCCTTACCCTTACCTGCCCCAGGTCCTTCTGTGTTTGACTGCCAGTGACCTGTTCTTGACAACATGCCTCCTCCTGCCCTTCTGCCAGCTTTACCTCATGGGTCCCTAGCTGATCCTGTGGCCTTTCCCCACAAACCTCACCTTCATTTGGTCCCTGCAAACCAAAAGACTCCCGGTACAGTGAATTCTGGAGAGTCATCCACATGCCTCCTGCTCCCATCCTGGTAGGCACCCCCAGAACATCAGCTCCCAGAAAGTAGGTGCCTTGCTCACCACTGTGTCCCTGCCCCCTGGGATAGCACTGCACAAGCAGCCACATGCTCACATGGGTTGACAAGAGAGTAGATGCACTCCACCCCTTGGATCTCTCTTCTGCATGACCCACTCTCCTGTGGTCACTGCCTCAAAGCCTTCGTCAGCCCTTGCCTGGACCATGGCAGTAGTTTCCTCACCCCCATCCTCATGATCAGTCTTGATCTCCCATTTGTCATCTACCTGTGGCCAAAGGAATCTTCCTATGGTGCAAATTTGATCTCTGATGACAATGATTTGGTAGAAGCCCACGCTCCTTGACATGGTTTCTAGGTCCCTTCAGGATCTGACCCTCGGCCCACTCTCCCCTCTCAACTCTTGGCCCTGCCTCCTGGCAGTCCCTGCCACTGCCTGCCACTTTGCAGCCTTACTCCTGCCATCTCCACCCTGGGCTGTTTGGAAGATCAGAGCCTGAACAAGCCTTGGGTTCCTCCTCCTGCATGCCTTTCCCCACCTCTCAATGGGGCTGGCCCTGGTTCCTTTGGTCTCAGCGTCAGTAACAGCCCATGGCATGGTCACTTGCTGCCTGCCTGTCCCTCCTAGATGCACAGCACCTGAAGTGGGACTGGAGCTCACTATTTCTGAATTCCCAGCAAGTAACACAGGGTCTGGAGTATGGTGAACCTTGGGAAGTGTCTGTTAAAGGGATGAGCCCACAGTATTACACAGAGGCAGAGAAGCCAAGGCTGAGCATGGACAGATGACAAATAGGGAGCAGGGAACACCTGGCCCTAGGTCACACTGTGACCAAGTGCCAATGCTGGTGGCAAGGCAGGCATGCTCTACCCATGCCTCTGGGAATACTTTCCTGTATTTCTGAGCTTATGCCTAGATATGACCCTTTAGGATCCTCCCACAGCCAATGAAGTATGACTTCTGTGGCCTTTGGCTGAGTCTCTGGGATGTCAGGCCTTGCTGGCCTCTGGATAGAGGAATTGGGACGTGGAGCAGCCCCGTTAGCTGAGATGTCCTGTTTCGCAGGGAAATTGCACCTCCTATGAGGGGCTCAATGATGCCAAGGACTATGCCCACGTTCGCTCAGCCATGAAGATCCTTCTCTTCTCCGACTCTGAGAACTGGGACATCAGCAAGCTGTTGGCAGCCATTCTCCACTTGGGCAATGTGGAGTTTATGGGTAAGGCCGTTTCTACCCTAGTTGCATCCCCAGGGAGGAAGAGTGGGGTGACTGGGACAGTAAGAGGAAAAAGTCACTGGGGATTTGTACCAGAGGGGCCCACAGGTCATAGGGTCCAATCCAGTCCTGAAAAAATACTTATGGAAAATGTAGCTGTGATTTTGAGTGTCTCCTAGGAGAAGACATCAAAGCTTAGGAAACCCCAAAAGTGGAGACTCTGATCAGTTACTCTCCCAGTTTTAGCTGGAACTCCAAAGGACTACATGTTCAGGGTGAAGATGAACCAATGTAGAGAAATCTACACACAAAATTGCAAGCTAGTTCATAAGCATCAAGATGGTCTAGGGAGGCTGGAGATGTGGCTCAGTGGTAGAACGCTTACCTAGTATGTGTGAGACACTGGGTTCAATTCTCAGCAGCACATATAAATAAATAAAATATAGGACCAACAACAACTAAAAAAATTACATGTATAAAAAAAGATGGTCTTGGAATTGAGGTATCCTGACCTGTTAGTACTGCCAAGCACCTAACCAAAGTTACTGACAATCCTCTCTGGAGGAAAATAACAGCAACATAGATTACTAATGATTTCTTCTAATAATATTTCAAATACAACATGCAGCATGTGCCCAGAAATAGGAACAAGAAAACAGGTACCATGAGCAAGTGCCAGCAGAAATAACAAGTAACAGAAATTTCACAAAGATTTCAGATATTGGAATAATTGAACAACAGTAAGAGATCTACTCTGCTTGCTGTGTTCAAGAAAAGAAAAATCTGAGTAGGAAAATTTAGACAGGGAACTGGACACTCTAGAAAATGACATCACATATTTTAAAAGGAGCCACACAGAAATTCTGACATTAAAAAAACAACACACCAGGCACAATGGCACATGCGTGTAAACCCAGGAATTCAGGAGGCTGAGGTAGGAAGATCGCAAGTTTGAGGCCAGCCTCAGCAATTTAGCAAGCATTTCAGCATCTTAGCGAGACCTGTCTCAGAAATAAAAAAGGCCATGTGTGATGGCACACACCTGTAATCCCAGTGGCTCGGGAGGCTGAGGCAGGAGGATCATGAGTTCAAAGCCAGCCTCAGCAAAAGTGAGGTGCTAAACAATTTGCTGAGACCCTGTCTTTAAATAAAATTCAAAATAAGGCTGGAGATGTGGCTCGGTGGGCAATAGTCCCTGAGTTAAATCCTGGGTAACTCCCCCAAATAAAATAAAATTAAATAAATAAATAAATAAATGGGCTGGGCATATAGCTCAGGGGTTAAGTGCCCCTGGGTTCAATCCTCAGTACCAAAATCAACAACAACATCAAAATTAAGAACTTAGTGGATAAATTTAGCAGCTGGAGGAATGTGTGAGCTAAAAGAAAAGTCAGAAGAAACTGTAACTATAAGGCATAGAAAGGCAGAAAGATGGAAAGGTAGGAAGCGTACAGGACAAAGTGAGAAGATGTAGCTGGAATCCTGATGAGAAAGAGAGAGCAATATTGGAAGGGGTTGTGACTGGTTCTAGAACTAACCAAAGACATCAATTCACAGAGCAGTGGGGAAAGGACAGGCTTGGGGGGAAACTGTTTCAGAGCAGTGGTGTCCACACGGAAAACCTGAGCTGGGGCCACAACCTCATATCATACCAGAAAGCCGACTGCAAGCCAGTGGTAATTAGGGTGGGCCGTCATCTATCAACTCCACTGGGCATTTCTGCCAGGGAAGTGCACGCTGACCAGAAGTGGGCATTAGGTGGTGGAAGAGTGTCAGAAACATGATGTTATGAAAATAAACAGAAAACAGGCACTGAGATCATGCCTAGACGGAACACCAGGGACCCCGTGTAGGAAATGAGAAGAAGCAAGAAAGAGATTTCCATGAAAGTTGGGCAAGTATTACTCCAGGGGAGAAGAATACCACTTTACAAGGAGAAGACACGTAGAAGATGTCAGTGTTGGGAGGAGGGTCCACATTTGGCTTTAGTTATTTCATGGCATGGACCTTACAACAACATAAGTTTTTTGTTTGATGCACTTTTATCTGTACGTTTTATTTCACAATATTTTTAATTAAAAAAGATAAATAAACAGCATCCCCACCCCAGCTTGGCAGGAGGATCGTGGCTCAGAGAGAAAGAACTTGAAGTAGATAGGTGGTCAGGAGACTGTTGTTTACAGTCAGTGCTCCATTAATGCTTGCTTTATTAGATTGAATGAACAAAATGAATGTCCAGGTGTCTAGGGACAGTAGAGTGGATTGAAGGTAGCTGGTGGCTCATTCTCCTGTAACAGATCCCAGTCAGGCCCTGCCTGTGCCCCTGCCAACTGGGTATCCCAACTTAGTCCAAAAAAACCCCCAAGATTCTTCAAACTTCCCTTTCACCCAGAACCCTGATCTCATCAGACAGAAGGAACTACGGTTCCCTACATTCATTCGCAGCTAAGGTGCTAATGACAGGTGGTCACCAGGAACATTCACTCCCTTCATGAGAGGGCCCTGAGAAAGGCAGTGGCCCACCCCCCAGGGACAGTTGCTGCAAAGTACAGATTTGGGGCTGCCCTCTGTCCCACCACTTTCCCACCCCAGGGTTGCTGCCTCTCTCTCTCTCTCTAGCTGCAGTCTTTGAGAACCTGGACTCCTCTGATGTGATGGAGACACCCGCCTTTCCCATCATGATGAACTTGCTGGAGGTAGTAGGCTACTATGTTTGCTCTTTTCCACTTTTGAGAGAGACTGGGGAGCTTGGGCCCATAGACTGATGCCTGATTCTCATAATCCTGCCCAGGAGCCGCACCCCTACCTCCCTTCCTTCTCCCAGGCTCTGAGCTCTATCTCTGTGCCCTTCTATACACTGGGACGCCTGAGGGTGGGCATCAGGGAGGGGACCATTTGAGCCAATCACTAACAAAGCAGTGAAATGACTAGTGTAGCTTTAATTTGCATTTCTTCCTGTGTCCAGTGTCCCCTCCTGCCCTCCAGTGGCCCACCATGCAACATCCTCACTCTATACCACATTCATCCCTAACTCCTCACTCAAGCACCCAATCCCACACCCATCAGAATGTCTCTGTCCTGTGCCCTGTCCCCCAGGACTTCTCCAGGAATTGTGCTGTTCTGGGAAAGTGGCTTGTGCCAATGAGTCATATGACTCATACCATCAGCCCTTCACATTATTCCAGGGACCAAAAGGAGCCTTGACCCAGAGGAAAGGTGGCAGGTTCTGGATGGGGATGTATTTTTGTAGTGGGAACTCTCCATGTCACACGCCATGGACTGTTCTGTGAGAAATCAATATGATTACAGGGGATGGGGGGAAAGCGTTCACATTAATCACCTTTATTTGGCTTAAGGGATATTAGTCCATTTTGGGTTCTTGTAGCAGAATACCTGAGACTGGGTAATTTATGAAGAATTATGTTAATTGATCTCTCTCTTAATTATGTTAATTAAGTTCTGGAGGGGCTGGGGATGTGGCTCAAGCGGTAGCGCGCTCCCCTGGCATGGGTGCAGCCCGGGATTGATCCTCAGCACCACATACAAACAAAGATGTTGTCTCTGCTGAAAACTAAAATGTAAATAAAATATTTAAAAAAAAAAAAGTTCTGGAGTCTGGGATAAGAGCAGTACCAACATCTGCTTGGGTCTGACAAGGGCCACCTGCTACATATGTACTGGTGGCCTCAGATGGCAAGACAGAGCAACTGAGCCAGAGAGAGCTTGTTTTTATAACAAAGCCACTCCCTAGGTAACCCAGTAATCTATTAATCCACAAACTGATTAATCCATTTATGAGGCAGCAGCCTCAGGATCCACTTGCCCCCCTAGTTCCCACCTCTAACTACCATTAACGTATGAATTGGGGGATTAAGTTCCCAGCACCTGAACTTTCAGAGGCCACATTCAAACCACAGCAGGCACATGGGAGCTTTGAGTTTTGCCGGCTCAGTGTTCCCTCCGTGGTGCATCCAGACTCCCCTTGCTTTTTAGATCTGGGTATCTGAAGCCTGGCCTCAGAGCCCTCCCCATAGCAGGCCCTTTCCCAGAAGTCCCTTTACCAAACCCCGGGAGACCAGCATGCTCAGTCCTATCTAATCTTTTTCCTTAACTGTCTGCACTCCAGTACTCCCAGGACCCTGGCTGTGGCCCCAGTCTGGCCTGACCCTGGTCACAGGCTTTGCCTTCCCTCAGGCCCTGGTCATGGGTTGTTCAGTCACAAGAGGGAACAAGACACAGCAGGAGCAGGTGGGAGTCTGGGTTCAGGCCCTGCTGCTCCACAGATGCAATGCAGCTGTACCTGCGTTCCCAGGTGCAGTACCAGGCGCTCCGAGACTGTCTGATCAAGCACACCATTCTTATCCGTGGGGAATATGTCACCAGGCCCCTGAACATCACCCAGGCTGCAGACCGGAGGGATGCCTTTGTCAAGGTACAGAGATGTGGGAATAGGGCTTGCCCCTGGCCCTATTGGTGAAAAACAAGAAAGAACAGAGGCTGATGAACAGGTCCCAATTCTGCCAGTCACCCGCCTAGGAGTGAACCATGAGCTTCCCAGCCTGGGCTTGATTTCTTGGGGCAATAGTAGTTCTGTGACACCCAATCTTCATGCAGCCTTTTTGGGTGAACTTGGAGAAGGGTTAGCCTCCCTCTGTACCTTGAAGCTCAGAGGCTTCACCCCATGTCTCCTCAGGGCATCTATGGACACCTCTTCCTGTGGATTGTCAAGAAGATCAACGCTGCAATCTTCCCGCCACCTGCCCAGGACCCCAAAAATGTGCGGAGGGCTATCGGCCTCCTGGACATATTTGGCTTTGAAAATTTCCAGAACAATAGGTATGAAGATCTCAGTCCACCTGTTATCAGAAAAACGGAAGAAAAGCAGCTTCTCTCTAAGAAAGCCAGAGGTTGCCGTCCCCAACTCCCATCCCACCTAACCCCCTTGCCACTGGGCTCCAAGCAGGGCCTCTCTCTCCCACCCACAATGCCAGGGTGAGCCTGTGAGCAGGCCTGAGTCTTTCTGCATGAGATGGCCCTGCATACCCGCCAGAATCCCCAGTCTGTCCAGAGAAGGTCACATAGCTAAATGCCTTCCCAGGGAGCCAGGCTGAGACCCCAGCATTCGTCATCCTTCTTGGGCCATCTGCTTGCTTCATGAACCAGAATGTTTTGTCACATGAGGTCATGGTGACAAGTTGAAATCAATAGCATTGATACAACTAGAGGTGTGTGTGGACCATCCCTGACTTTTGAGTTGGGGATTGGGGGAGTGAGGCAGGACACCTCTGACCTGGTATCCCCGCACATCTAGAAGCTAAAAATCTATGACCAGGGAAGGTAAGAACATTGTTACTCAACATGACTACAGTGAAGGATGGGGTGAGGTACACAAGGTGGCCGAGGGAGCCAGGCAGAAGAGCCAAACCTGGGCAGATGATATTCTAGGGCATCATGATGGGCAGGTAATATCGCAGAGCATCATCACAGGTGGGAGTTAGTCAGATGCAGGAAACAAGGGCTGTGGGACAAATAGGCAGGAAGTATTCTGGATGCAGTCCAGATTCCCTGAGCCTGGTTCATTTAAAGGGCTTGGCAGGAAAGAGCCCAGGTCACTGGTTCCAAGAAGCAGGGGCTGGCCTAACCTTGACATGCTCCTGCCCAAGACTGTGTCTGTAAATGGAGCCTAACTTGGGAGGGATTTGGATGCCCCACCTTGAGAACCAGACATGAGCCATTCCAAGTGCAAACACTCTGGGACCTCAGCCTCCCAGCTAAGCGAGGGGACAGGGCAGAGGTTCCACCACTGCAGTCAGGTGAGAGGTGACAGGGCTGGCAAAACTATGCCTAGTGCCATGGAACCCTTAAGGCACAGTAAATTCAAGTGTAAATTGGGTTCTGGCCTCTGGGGAGCGGGACACAGGTAAACAGATCAAGCACACCGGGGACACCTTGGAGGTGGATGACTTGTTGGTCCTGGGGATCTAGCCATGTATGTGGTGATCCTGCCTTGAAGGATGGTCACTGGTGGCCACTAGCTTGATTTGTGACACGGCTGCAGTCTTAAAGCCTGGAAGGGAGATGCTGTAAGGACCTGGGTCCCCTGCTCTACTCCATCATGCTTTCTATGTGTGCTGGGCATGGGGGACATGGTGGGCCTGTTCCTGCTTACCTGGTGGTTAACAGATGTTGAACAAGCAGCCTCAGGCATGACGAGGTCTTATTTAAATAGGTGACCCATCCTGAGTTAAGAGACACCTAAGAGACCCAGAGACAGAGAGGAGGGGGCGCCAAATGTGTGGCGACTCAGTGATAGGAAAGAACCAGGAACATCCAGGGAGCTGTGAAAAGTCCAGGTGGCCAGAGAGTGACCCCAGCAAAGCTGGAACAGTGGTCAAAACTTTCTACTGTGGTCACTGTCTGGATCCTGAAAACATGGGAAGCCGGGAGGAGTTGAAGCCAAGGAAGAACATGATTAGATTTGAGGCCACCACGGGGCTCCAGAGGAGTACTGGAGGTGGCCTGAACTAAGACAGCATCAGTGGGGACAAAAAGAAATAAACATTTCAAGATGCTGTGTTGCAGCTAGCATGGACCAGGCTTTGGCAATTGGTAGGAATTGGGGAGAGGGCCAGAGTCAAGTGTAACTTCTTGATTTCTGACTTGAGTCAGGGGTGGTAAATGGAGGAGTCATTTCCCAAGGCAGGGAACCATCAGGTAGAGCATGTTGGAGGATTGGTGGGGTGGAGAATTGCAGGAGACAAGAATATATCTGGTTGATCCAGAGGGTCCCTGTAGATAGCACTGATTTCTGGAAGCTCATCTCAATACCAAGGCCACTTGCCTACTATGAATCTGGAGCTTCTTGTGAGTACTTGGCCCCATAAGGAGAGTCTCAGTGAGAAGTTAGGCAGACCTTCAAAGGACTCTGTAGGTGACCCTAGGATTCGATGCTATGCTGGGCCTTCTTGTTTCTCTTTGACTGCCACGGGATGGAGGAGGTGATGGTAATGGAGGCACACAGAAGCAAGAGGTGTGGCAGGGAAGAGTGTGCATCTGTGTGCATGTGAATGTACATCATAAGTATGTGGCTGTGTGCAGATGGCTGGTGATCCCAGGGCTCCCTCCACGTATAACAGGGACCCACTGACCCTGCCCCGCCCTGGGTGGTGGCATTGCCTCTACAGTTTTGAGCAACTCTGCATCAACTTCGCCAATGAGCACCTGCAGCAGTTCTTTGTGCAGCACGTTTTCACCATGGAGCAGGAGGAGTACCGCTCAGAGAACATCTCCTGGGACTACATCCACTATACCGACAACCGGCCCACCTTGGACCTGCTGGCCCTCAAGCCCATGAGCGTCATCTCCCTCCTAGATGAAGAGAGCCGCCTCCCACAGGTGTGTTTTTGGGCCTTGGGGGCGGAGCCCTGGCTCGTGGGTCTCTTCTTTGAGGTTGGGAAGCTCCATTTGTGAGGCCCACCTGTTCCCAGGGTGGCTGAGACCTCTGCCAGGAATAAGTGGACAAGCCTCAGACTAACCAGACCCTCCCTTCCTTGAAGGCCAAGCTCAGGCCCACCTGAAGAAAGCTTTTCCTGGCTGCTGGGGCACCTGGACAATTGCCCAGGGGATAGAGCAGGAGGACTGGTGGTAGGGGGTGGCAGATGCAGCCTCTGCTCCTGGCTGGGCCCTCACTCACTATGACAAGTCACCAACCCCTGGGGATTAATGTCCCATCTGTCATTCTGAACCCAGCCTACTTTGTCCCACGAGGGAGCCCCTGAGCCCTGCCGGTGGGCCAAGCTGACCACCGCATGGCTGGACTCTGGGACCTCAGCTCAGAGAGCATCCGGGTTCTTCCAGGGTACAGATATCACCATGCTGCAAAAACTGAACAGTGTCCACGCCAACAACAAAGCCTTCCTGAAACCCAAGAATATCCACGATGCCCGATTTGGCATTGCTCACTTTGCTGGCGAGGTTTACTACCAGGCCGAAGGTGGGTGACCTCCCCTCACGCACTCTCAGATCTGGAGCAGAGAGATCATAGAAAGGAGACTGAGAGAACTGGTGCTTTCACCAATCCAGTAATGGAATGGCAGGGTTCAAAGCATAGATTTGCCTAGAGAAAGGAAGTGGAATGGAACCAGGCATTCGGTGACGTTTTGTGGTTTGGTAGTGGCTCTGCTGAGACATAATTCACATACCCTAATTATTCACCATTGAAAGTGGACATCTCAGTATGTTTTAAGTAGATTCCCAGAGTTGTGCAATGATTGCCACAACTTTAGAGCATTTGTATCACTTCCAAAGGCAACTCCCCATTAGCTGTCGCTCCTGACACCGCCACCCCCACCCCAGGCAACAACTGATTTCTGTCCATCTAGGTTCACCTACTCTGGACATTTCCTGTAAACAGAATCATATACAGTGTGGCCTTTTGTGGCCGATTTCTTTCACTTGTCAACATGTTTTCAAGGTTTATCTATGTTGTCACTTGTATCAGTATTTCATTTTCTTTTTATTCCAGCATAACACTCTGTTGTATGAACATACTCTATTTTGTTTGTCTCTTCATCCGTTAATGAATATTTGAATCGTTTCTACTTTTTGGGTCTTCTGCGTAATGCAGCTGTGACTATCCGTGTCCAAGTTTTTGTGTGGAATGTATGTTTTCATTTCTCCTGGATATATACTCAGCAGTGGAACTGAGGGGACATATGGTAACTCTCTGTTAATTTTTTTTTTAATTTTGCTTTTAGTTGTTGAAGGACCTTTATTTTATTCATTTATTTATATGCAGTGCTGAGAATTGAACCCAGTGTCTCACACATGCAGGGCAATACTCTACCACTGAGCCACAACCCCAGCCCTCTGTTAGATTTTTTGAGGACCTGTCAAACTCTCTTCCAAAGTGATTATGCTACTTTACACCAGCAACAGATGAGGATTCCAACTTTTTTGCATCCTCGCCAACACATGTTGTTATCTGTCTTTTTTATTTTAGCTATCCCAGGGGGGTTGAAGTGGATCTCAGTGTGATTTTTTTTTAATTTACCATCTTGACCATTTTTAAAAAAATATCTTTATTTTTATTTTTATGTAGTGCTGAGAATCGAACCCAGTGCCTCACACATGCCAGGCAAGCGCGTTACCACTTGAGCCACATCCCCAGCCCCTCAGTGTGATTTTGACTTGAATTTCCCTGATGGGTAATGATGTTGTGCATCTTTTCATGCCTTTGTTGGCTATTTGTATATCTTCTTGGGAGAAATGTTTATCCAAATTCATTGCTCATGTTTCAATTGGATTCTTTGTCTTTTTGCTACTGAATTGCAACAGGATTTGTTTGTTTTTGTACTTGGGATTGAACTCAGAGGCACTTTACCACACTGCGCTATATCCCCAGCCGTTTTTACTTTTTATTTTGAGAAGAGTCTCACTAAGTTCCTTACAGCTTCATTAAATTACTGAGGTTGGCTTCAAACTTATAATCTTCCTACCTCAGCCTCCTGAGTTGCTTGGATTATAGGTATGAGCCATCACACCTGGCAAGAGTTCTTTTTTTAAAAAAAAAATATTTATTTTTTAGTTGGACACAATACCTTTAGTTTTATGTGGTGCTGAGGATCGAACCCAGGGCTTCACATGTGCTAGGCGAGTGCTCTACCACTGAGCCACAATCCCAACCCCATGGAAGAGTTCTTTATGTATTACAGATACATGTACCTTATCAGATATATGATTTGTAAATATTTTTTTGTTCTTCACATAAGTCTTTTCATTTTCTTGATGGGGTCCTTTAGAGTGCAAAATTTCTCATTTTAAAAGTCCAAATTGTCTATTTTCTTTTCGTTGCTGTGTCTTGTCTAAGAGTTCACTGTCAGATCCAAGATCATGAATATTTACCCCTACATATTTTTGTAAGTGGTTTTCAGTTTTAGTTTTAGGGTCTATGATCTATTTTGAGTTACCTTGTCACACATTGAGGTAGGGTGAGCAATGGTTTTGAGTGGAGAAGAAAAGACTCGAGGTGGTCAACTGATCAGTGTGTTTAGAAAAATGAGAAAGGCCACTGAGCAGCTGGGGTCAGGAAAGCAGAAGAACTGGAGTGTCACTCTGCTGCATGCGTGGAGAAATGAGGAGGTGCTCTGCAGATACAATTCCACAGTGACAGGAAGATCAGGTATTTTACATAGAAGAGCGAGGTGCAGGGAACTCAGGGGAGTGTTTCTGATGGAGAAATAAGAAGGTGGGGTGGCCCCTTCCTGATTCCCTCCGGAACCTGGCTTTGGGCTCCAGAAAGGTCCCAGAACACCTCCTTTCAAGGTGGCCTGAAGCTGCCTTTGAGCCTTTCAGTGAATGCTCCTTCCTGTCACTCCCAGCTCTGCAAGGACCCTTGTGCCACCCTGCCCCAGCACCTGGTATAGCCCCCTGCGGAGTGCTGTTCCCACACAGGCACCTGCAGGCAGAGGAGGGGAAATGGGCTCCCTTCCTGTCTCCCACTCTGGGTTCAGTCTCCCCAGAAGCAGTTCGTCTTCAGCACTCCCTTGGAGTGTCCCTACTTCAGGGCGCAGCCACTCTTACCTATGGCTGGAGGGCAGAGGCAGGGTCTTCTCACCCTGGGCTCCATGCTTGTCTTGGTCGGCTAGGGCTTCAGAAACAAATACCACAGGCAGGTAGCTCAAACAACGGGAGTTAATTTTCAGACAGATCTGGAAACTAGAAGTCTAATATCAAGGTGTGAGCAGGGTTGACTTCTCCTGAGGTCTCTCTCCTTGGCTTGTTGATGGCTGTTTTCTTCCTGCGTCTTCACACTGTCTTCTCTCTCTCTCTCTCTCTGCATGTCTTAATCTCCTCTTCTTATAATGACACTAGTCATATTGGATATTGGGCCCACCATCATGATCTTAGTTTTTACTTTAATCTCCTCTTTAAGGCCCTATTTCCAAATCCAGGAGATCCATGCACATTCTAACATCCTGGGGCTTAAGACCTCAACTTTTGAAGTTGGGATGACACAATTCAGTCCATAACACTCTGCCCCTCTCCCATTTCGGGAGGCTCAGTCTTCAGGTTGGACCCCAAAGGCAGACTTGTATTGGCTTAGATGACAGGGTGGGGGTGGGTTAGAGTGGGGATGGGAGCCTGGATTGTTGAGAGTTTGGAGCATACAAGTGACTTGGAACTGGGTAGAGATGTTGGGGACCATTCAGGATTTCAATGGGGTCATTGGGGATGGGGGTGATGTCCCTCTGAGCATGTTCATCTTCCCTGTGGGGTGCAGGAGATGGCTGAACTGGTCTGGTGAATGGGTCCTGTTGTCCCCACAGGCTTCCTGGAGAAGAACCGAGATATGCTGAGTGCAGATATCCTTACCCTGGTTTACTCCTCCAAAAACAAGTTCCTGAGAGAGATATTCCATCTGGAGTCTGCAGAAACCAAGCTGGGCCACGGCACCATCCGTCAGGCAAAGACTAGGAATCAGTTCTTCAAGGTGGGTTTCCAGCACCTCCCAGGCCTCCTGGGTCTCTTTCCTCCAAGGGCCACAGGGCCAGAATGATGTGCACAGAGAAAACCATTTAAATCAACAGTGGGTGCCCAACTAGAAGCCTACGTACAGTAGGTGCTTGGGAGGCCTGTGCTGGACAGATGAATGAATGACTGAGTAAGTGCACTGGCCCTTGGCAGCAGCCCTCCTGGTGCAGAGGGTCAGCCATGCTCTGGGCTGCAGTTCCCCATGCTCAATTCATGCCCTGTGTTTACACCCACAGGGTACAGACTCCACCAAGCGGCCCTCCACCTTGGCATCTCAGTTCAAACAGTCCCTGGATCAGCTGATGAAAATACTGACCAACTGCCAGCCCTACTTCATCCGCTGCATCAAACCCAACGAGTACAAGAAGCCGCTGGTAAGCAGGAGTTTGGAGCACCCAAATATAGTGCTGTTTATCTGCTGTGTGTGCTTCACCAGGCTTTGGCTTCTCTGAGCGTTGGTTTTCTCATCCATGAATTCAGACTCTTGCCTGCAGAAGTACAGTGAGGGTTGGACATGATGTTGGGGCACTCAGTAAGTGGCAGCAGCCAGTCCTAGGATTTTAGCCAGTCCTGGTGGCCGAGACCTGCAACATCTTTATCGAGGATTTGTATGGTGACGGGGTGGAAACCTGGGAGTCCCTGGTCCATCCATTCAGAGACTATAAATATAAGGACTCCCTAAACTTGGAGATGCCATTTGAAAGGATGTAAAATAACAATAAGTCATCTTATGAGGATATAAAAACAAATATTTAAAAGAAGTATCTTTTGAAAAGAATGAAGTTATATGAAATTGAGGTTGTCCCATGAAATCTCGGGTATGTCTTCCTAACAGTTACAACATGCAGATGTTAGCAAACTGCCCTTTTTTTCCTTAACTGCTTCAGAGAAGCTTGTGCTCCCAGGGGGTCCCCTGCCAAGCCCACACTGCCCACCTTTGGAGCTGCAGGACAAGTGGGTGAACCTAAGTCTGAGGTCAGGTTTTGTGGGCTCTGGGTCTGAACCCTGGTTCAGCCAGTTAGGAGTAATACCCTGTGCAGCAGGTGCCTCATTTTAATTTAGATAGAAGCCAATTACCCCTACTACATAGAGCTGCTCTAAAGATTAACCAAGGAACGCTAGGCCCACAGGAAATATCCAATCAATAGCTGGTAACTAGTCACCCAAGCCTGACTGCTATGGGGCTTAAACCCACAAAGAGGTGGCTCTGTGGTCCTGCATGCGTTCAGGTGAGGTGATAAGCCTGATGGTAGACTTGCCCACTTAGAAGGTGTTTCCCTAGTGCCCCAGACTGGGGGGGGGGGCTCTCTGGAGGCCACGCTATGGCAGTCTTAGGGCTACCTGACACCTGGGGGAAAATATCATGCCCAAATTCCTCTCTGCCTGCCCCACCAGCCTCCTAACAGAGGACGACAAAGCTCCCTATGGCCAATGCTCCCTCTGGTTCTCCTTTGACCCTCTCAGGGAGGGAAGTTTATAAATTGACTAGAAGGATCTCTGTCCCCAACTACCAGATTTGTTTCTTCACTCCACCGTTCCACCGTGGGAAGCCAAGATGCATGCAGTGCTCACAGGGGCACTTGAAAACATTTTCAATGGGGCACATGCAAATACCTTTTCTAGTCACAGTACTTTGTGTATCTTGAGAATGACAGAAGTGTGATGTTCTTACAGGAGCAGCAGTTTCTGTTACTGATTTCATCTCCTTGGAAATATGTGATGCACTTTTCAGCCCCTTCCCCGACTTTCTTCAAAATGTCACTGTAGTTCAAACGTTTATTGAGTTCTTCCCAACTTGGGGGACAGCCAAATGGGTGTCTGGGCCAGCTGATCTTTCTGACTGTAGGCCTGCGTGCCAGGTGGTGGAGCAGTGGGGAAGCGTAGGGCCCTTTGCTCCCTCTGCGCTCTGCATCTTGACCCTGCAGCTCTTCGACCGGGAGCTGTGTATCCAGCAGCTGCGCTACTCCGGCATGATGGAGACCGTGCACATCCGCAAGTCTGGCTTCCCCATCCGCTATACGTTTGAGGAATTTTCGAAGAGATTCCGAGTGCTGCTGCCCAGCGCTGAGCGCAAGCCAGTGAGTGCACAGCCAGTAGATCAGTGCAACCCTGCGCCTCCGCCGTCCAGTCCTGCGCTGCGTCCAGCATTCCTCCAGCTTCCAAGTTCCAACAGGGGTGGTGTCCTCTTACTGCTCTCCTGGTGCCCAGGATGCCCTCTGGACCCCAGCCTTGACATGACCCCTGTCTGCCCTTCCCTCATCATCCTTTAATTTCTGTGAAAGCAAGGGAAGTGGCTCACACTGGCTGACCCTGGTGGCTGCAGAAGAGATATTTGCAGTTTTATTACGATTACACTCTGCTGTTGGCAGAATGTTAGGGAGCTGAGGTGTGGCTAGGAGCTCTTGGGGGCAGGAAGTCCCTCTTATTCTTTCTGGAATCCCCAACCATCCTAAAGGTTGAGGTGCTCTGAGGCCAAGTGTACAACAGTAGTAAAGCAGGTAGCCTCTGAGTCCTGAACCCTGAAGGCTTCCCTTGCTCACCCCTTGATCTGAGATGCCTGTTGCCTGGGCCCAGCAGCACAGACCCTGGACAGGAAGCCCTTGAGAGGAGGAAGGAGGCAGGATCCCTTGGAAACCCTGCAGGAAGCCCCCTCAAGCTCCCCATGGTCTCTGTTCCAAATGGCACTGAGCCACCCCCCGTTTTTCCTGTGCAGCTTCAAGACAAGTTTCGCCAGATGACCTTGTGCATCACCGAGGTGTGTCTGGGGACAGACAAAGAATGGAGAGTCGGAAGGACCAAAATTTTCCTGAAGGTGAGACCCTAAGGAACTAGTACATCACTAACTAGCCTCCTAAGACTTGGGGGGTGGTGAGCACAGTGAGGAGGAAGAGGAAGAGATCAGAGCCAGGCTGAAGATCACCTGAGCCCCGACCCCATTCTCACCACCGCTGCCTGCCCACCCCCCCTCATTTATTCTCAGAGCAACCTCCTGGCCCCAGACCTCCAGTCAGTTTGTCTATCCATCTGTCTATGCATTGATAAAGCCCATGCTGAGTCTGGGACCCAGACAGAGAGCTATGGAGGCAAAACTAGCAAAAGAAACACCCCAGGGCACTGCCCAGGAGGGTAGAATGGATAGTGAGGGCCATACATGGGCATGATGGTGAGGTCAGTGTGGGCAGAAGGTTGAGGAGGGGAGAAGAGCACCCACCCCTCCTTTCCTTCCTTCCTTCCTTTCCTGGCTATCCCTTGAAGCCACAGCTAGGGTCGAGTCCATCTTTGTATCCCAAAGCCTGCCATGGCACACAGAGAAGCTCAGTTAGGGAGGCAGGAAGGGCCATCAAGTCCTCAGCCTCTCCTCCCCACTTACCATAGGGTTGCACTGCTCTGTGTCCTACAGGAGCAGTCCCTGCCTCCCCAGGGCTGAGATGGCTGGCTTATGCCTCTCATCCCAGGGTGCAGGGATCCAGGAGGAAGTAGGCTGCAGAAAGTCATGCCCAAGGCTCATCATCTCATGCTCATGGGTTGTGGGGGAACATTTTCATGTTGAAACAAGCAGGCTCTTTTGTGCTGTTGAATGCAAACACCATGCAAATTTGGAGAAATAAAATCCTTCAGGGGAATTTTGTTCCTCCTCCCCTGAAGTCTCCAAAACAGAAATCAGAGTTGCCAGATTGAATTAGCAAGAAGAAACAGTTAAAATAGGAAGTTCTTGGAAAAGGGATAATTGCAGCTCCTTCCCTGAACTACCTCAAGAGCAAGTTAAGGGCCCCTTCTCCAGTTTGCCTTCCTGGGAGAAATCTGAAAGTCACTGACTTACAGAGACCAAGCCCTGGCCCAGGCAGGGACTGTGGGAGAGAGGATGGGGCAGCTACATGAAGGCATTGCTCCTGTCCCCAGGATCACCAGGACACCCTGCTGGAGATACAGAGGAGCCAGGCGCTGGATGAAGCAGCGATCAGAATCCAGAGAGTCATGCGAGGCTACAAATACAGGTGCTTGCCCCACCCAAGCCCCCACCCAGCCCACATGCCTGCTCACCATGTCTTTCAGGCATGCCTGAAAGGGAAACTGAGATACAAGGTCCCCTGACCAGCGACACCGCAGCCTGTGGGGACCAGAGAATTCTAAAAGGTTATTGGAATATTTGGAAGAAACAAAAACCACTCTGTAAATTAGAGATGGGACCAGACCTCATATCTGCTCTGCTCTCAACTACATTTTGATGTTCTGCTTTGATCATCTTAAAGAGCATATGGGCTTGGCTTATGAGGTGGTTTAGTTTTAGAGGGGGTAAAATCCTCTCACTGTTCTTCTCTTCCTGATCAGTACTGCCATGCATCATATAATAACATTTTGCATTTATGTCAGTGGTCCATAAGTTTGTATCACTTGGTGACTTCACAGCCATCTTGGTCTCAGTAAATACAGTTGACCCCCGACCAACATGGTTTGAATTACGTGTGTCCACTGACATGCAGATTTGGTGTTTTGGAGATTTATGACGATCTGAAAGAACTCAAATATGAACCACATAGTTCATAGACAGATCGTAGATAATATCAAAAAATTAAGAAAAATATGAGTACATAAAAATATGTAGATAATAGTCTTTTATCACTTACTAATATCTAAAATACAAAAATCTGTTATAAAACATTAAAAATCATCAAAACATTCCAGGCACAGTGTTGCATGCCTATAATCCCAGTGGTTTGGAAGGCTGAGGCAGGAGGATCACAAGTTCAAGGCTAGCCTTAGCAACTTAACAAGGCCCTAAGCAACAACTTAGCAAGACCCTGCCTCAAAATTTTAAAAAAATGTAAAAGGGCTAGGGAAGTTGCTCTGTGGTTAAGCACCCCTGGGTTCAATCCCTGGTACCACACACACACAAATATCAAAACATACAAAAATAAACTCAGTTGATACATATTGCCATTCACCATCAAGAGACATGTTGGGGCTGTGTTGCAGCTCAGTGGTAGAGCACTTGCCTAGCATGCGTGAGGCCCCAGGTTCAATACTCAACACCACATAAAAACAAATCAATAAAATAAAGGTATCATGTTCATCTACAACTTAAAAAAAAGAGAGAATTGTAAACATAAGATTACAGGATTAAATTATAACTGCATAAAATTAACTGTATATTCATCATATGTTTAAAAATTATAGCTACCTCTTGTGCTATTGTGGGGAGTCGCAAGTTATACTTGGATTTTCAGTTGTGCAGGGGGTCAGCCTTCCTAACCCCAAGTTGTTCAAGGATCAACTATCTAGTCTATGATGGTTGCACAATGATGAAATCATTTAATAGCACATTTCTCAGAACACACCTGTCATTCAGCAACACATGACTCCACTTGAACTTCACTCTAGGCTTAGCACATCAGCAAGGCCCCTGCTTCATCCCACCTCCATCACTCCAAGGGATTTGTAAGCCCCGCTGCAAGGTCATGAGCTAGAAACACAGGCATGAGAAAATGGGGGAAGGGATTTTGTATAAATCTAAATTTCCATTTCTCTGGAATAAATGCCCAAGAATTAATGGCTGGGTCAAGTGTTAGTAACATGTTTTGTTTTTAATGAAACCACCAAACTGTTTTTGAAGAAGGGGGCTGAACCAGTTTACTTTCTCACTAGAAACTTATGGGTTTTTCAGTTGCTTTGATGTTATAATTTTATATTCATTCAGTTCATTTAAAAATTTTCTCTTGAGATCATAGATTATTTCAAAATATGCTGTTTAGTTTCCAAGTGTTTGGAGATGTTCTTGTTATCTTACTGTTATTGATTTCCAGCTTGATTCCACTGTAGTCAGGGATACAACTGTATACAAGTTAAATTCTATTTAATTTGTTGAGATTTCCAACACGGCCTAGGATGTGATATATCTTGGTAGCTGTTCTGAGGGTGTTTATAAAAACACAGATTCCACTCTTGTTGGGCAGAATTGTTGGGTGAAGTGTTCTAAAAGTGTAGATCAAATCTTGTTGGTCTGTAGAGATGTTGAACTCTAGATTCTTATTGATTTTTGTTTACCTGTCAATTGTTAAGAGGATGGTGTTGAAATCTCCAACTGTAAGCATGGATTTACTTTTAAATTTCATTTCTATCAGCTTTGATTTCATTTTGTAGTTCTGTTATTAGATGCATATGGACTTGAGATTGCTATGTCTTCTTGGTAGATTTACTTTTTTTATCACCATGTAACATCCTTCTGTGTCTCTGGTTTTGTTTGCTTTGTTTTGGTTTTTGCTCTGAAGTCGACTTTACCTGATAGTAATATGGCCATTCCTATCTTATTTTGATTACTATTTCCATGATATTTATTTTTCATCTTTTTTGCTTTTTGCCTAACTATTCAGTATATTTTAAGGGAGTCTCTTATAAACAGTATGTAATTGGGTCATGACTTTATATCTATTCTGCCAATCTCTGTCTTGCAATTAAAGTATTTAGTCTTTTCACATTTAATGTAATTATGCATGTGATAGCTTGTGTCTCCCATTTTATATTTTTGTTTTCTATTTGTTCTATTTGTTTTTATTTTCTGTTTTCTTTTTCTTGCCTTTCTATGACTGACTTAAGCATTTTTTATAATTCCATTTTTTTTGTATATATAGCCTTCTTTTATATACTGGGGGGATTGGACTCAGTGGCACTCTACCACTTAGCTACAGCCCATTCTTTTTATTTTTTATTTTGAGACAGGGTCTTATTAAGTTGTTCTAGCTGGCCTCAAACTTGTGATCCTCTTGCCTCAGCCTCTTAAGTGATTTCTTTAGGATATGTGTGTCCTTGATTGGTACCATCATTTTAATATTTCAAGTTAAGTATATGACCTGTTTCTCTCTTGATGTCCATTTGCCCTCTCCCATTTATAATACAATTTCCTCAAATCTGTCCTCTAGAACTATATCAGACAAGGTTATGAATTTTGCTTCAATTATCAAAATATACTTTTAGAAAACTGCAAAGGAAACCTTATTATGTTTGCTCATATTATTGCTTATTATTTCTTTCATCCTTCCTGACATTCAAGGATTTCTTTTTTTATCATTTCTTTTCTGTGTAGAGAACTTTCCCAGCCATTATTTTAAGGTACATCTACAGATAATTCTCTTGGTTTTAAATTTTTATTCTTCATCTGAGAATATCTTGATTCTTTCTTTATTCCTGGAGGATCTTTCACAGGATATAAAATTCTAGGTTGGCAGCTATTTTCTTTCAGCACTTGGGAGATGTGTCATTTCCTCCTGACCTCCACGGTCTTTGTTGAGAAATCTGCTGTCCTTTGAACTGTGTTTTTCCCTTTTAAGTGATGTGTTATCTCTTTCCATATTTTCAAGTCCTTCCCCACCCCTTTGGTTTTCAGAAGTTTGACTTAGATACAGCTTGATGTAGGTTTATTTGAGTTTTCTTATCTTCTTAAATCTATAAGTTTATATCTCCTGCCAAATTCATGAGCTTTCCAGTTGTTTTTTTATCATTTCTTCAGTTGCTTTTTAGCACCACCTCCTTCTCCTTTCTTTTCATGACCCTGATGACACAAAATATTAGATCTTTTGTTATAGTTCCACATATTCCTGGAGCCCTGTTCATAATCTTTTCATCTATTTTCTTTCTGTAATTTCTACTTTTTTTTTTTGTACCAGGGATTGAACTCATGGGCAATCAACCACTGAGCCACATCCCCAGCCCTATTTTGTATTTTATTTAGAGACAGGGTCTCAATGAGTTGCTTAGTGCCTCGCCATTGCTGAGGCTGGCTTTGAACTCACGATGCTCCTGCCTCAGCCTCCCAAGCTGCTGGGATTACAGGTGTGCACCACCATGCCTGGCTAATTTCTACTGTTCTATGTTTTCACTCACTAATCCATCCTCTGCTATCTCCATTCTGTCACACGGCAGGGTTTTTTTAATCATTGTATTTTTCAATTCTAAAACTTCCACTTGGAAATTTAGAAATGGAAATTTATTTTATATCTTCTATTTCTTTACTGAGACTCTTTGTTTTCCAATTTGTTCCTGGCATGTTCACAACTTCCCATGGAAGCATTTTTTAAATGATGGCTAACACTTTTGGACGGAGGGAAGATGGCGGCGAGGGGAGTGCATTACCCCCGTGTGCTGCTTCACTGTGTGGGAGTATGACAAGTCAGGACGGCTAAAGGATATCTTGTTAGGAATTTCCAGCAATAGTGGGGTGCGCCGGAACCTGGAGGAAGGATTTCCATCGCATGAGGATCGGCTACGGGGACTCAAACGCGAGAGGTTTGTCGCACGGAGGGTAACACTGCTTATTCAGCAAATCGCCCCGCGGCTAGAGTCTGCAACGCGCGCTGGGATAGAGACGCAGGGTTACAGCGCTGCAGTTTCTGCCAGACGCGCAAGCACCGCACTCAGGGCTGAATTCTGGGTTCGAGATGGGGAAGGAAGCGGTCCATCTCGGTTCTCCACACCGGTCAGACCACAGAGGAGGCCAGCAGCCACCATGTTGGTAAACTGACGTCACCACACCTGTTTTTGACTGACCGCAGCTCATTCAGCCATAGAACAGGTAATTTCAGGGGGCAATTCGCCTGCGGCTTGCAGACAGATTGCTAGGGTTCAGCGCCTGGGGGCTTCTTAAAATCTGATCTTATCGGAGTGAACACGGAGCGCGGGGCGGCCGAGTCCCGGCTCCCGGAACCGTCCCGGAACCGCCCTGGCTCCGGGCTGCGGAGCCTGCGGAGGCTGCTTCTTGGACCCTGCTAATATCAGAGCAAACACGAAACACCAAGAAGCCGAATTCCAGCTCCCGGAACTGAGCCCGCGGGGACTGCTTCTTGGAGCTTACACTTATAGGAGCTTACACCGAGCACAGAGCGGCCGAGTTCCGGCTCCCGGAACCGTCCCGGAACCGCCCTGGCTCAGGGCTGCGGAGCCCGCGGAGGCTGCTTCTTGGACCCTGCTACTATCAGAGTATACACCAAACACTAAGCGGCCGAAT